TTTCTAATTCAAATTTAAAAAGTTAAAAAAAAAAAAAAAGGTTAAACAACTGAAATATTAGCAGCAGAGTGAGTCTCTTTGAAAGATGAGTCACTGTCTTCATTATAGAAGCTGAGCTCACCCTTTCCCCCTTTCTGCTCTTAGTACTTTGGCTGCCCAATCCATCCCATACCACCTGGGGTTCCTGAGAGTACTAAGGGCTATCCTGTCAATACTCAAGCAGAAGTGAAAGGTACCAAGAAAAAACCAAATAAACAAAATGTACTTCAATATTTAATCAGATTTTCCCCAGTATTGTTATTGTGACTATGTTTAGAGCAGAGGTCAAGCTGACCCAATGGTGTCCTCATTAGGCTGAGACAGCAACTCTACATGAGGCAGTCCCAGGCAAGGTCATTACATCTCTGGGTCATTACAGCCATTCCACAAACTTAACAAAAAGTGTTTATTAACAAAAGAGTTAAAGATCTAATCTGTACATTGAAATATAGAAGTGAGAAATAATGAAGCAGGAGAAAGCCCTGAGTCATAGAGAAACCACAACTCAGTTATGTACCCCCACTCTTTTGAGTTCTACAATCTCCTTGGAAAAATACTTTGTTCCTAAGCCTGCAGACCTGTATTTTGTTTATGTGTTGCCATTTTGGAAATCTGACATCAAGAACCACACCCACCATCATCTTCACTCCTTTCTCCTGTCATCTCCACAGACTCAGAGAGTGAAGCCAAGGAGGTACGTCTGGAGGAAGCTGCAGAGGTCACGCTGGCTTGCTTGCTCCCTGGGAGCCGGCTCACCCAGTGCTCACACAGAGAAGAACTTGTGGAACCTGCAGAAAAGGAGATGGGTCCTGAGGTCAGCCAGGGTCCTGAACTGCACACATCCTGTGCCAATCAAGTCAGAGGCTTGTGTCCTCATTCCAGAGTTAAGACAAACTCCCAGAGCTGAGTATCCCTAGCAAAAATGAAGAAACTTCAGGCAATTCCTGCATTCGGGAAGGTCGTAGAATCAAAATGCAAATATAGAATAAATGTTTCCAAAAGCAACACCTAATCCTGGCAAGGGAATAGTGAAACAGGGATACACAGCCACTCACTCTACAATGACTCACTAAGAACAACCTCTGAGCACTGGCAGTACCACTGAATCACCCAGAAGAAGAGCAGTAACACAGACATTGTTTTTCTTAGCTTTGCTCTCTTTTGGACATTTTAAAGCCATTTTATAATATTAATGATACATACATGCATGCACATGCACCAGCACACACACAGTAGGGGGTACTAAAGAGAGATACATTATCAGTCCTGTCAATTCCAGGGGTACCCTTAAAAATGTTAGGGTAATAGTGTTCTTGAAATTGACTACATGAAGCATCACTGTCTTAAGCAGACCTAAAGAGACTGTCATTTTTTAGCACATCTCAGATTCTAGAATGGCCCAAGAGTTCCCTCTTCTAGACAAGGGAGCAGCCTACCCAGAGAGTAGGCTTTGCCTCCTGGCAGGGGTCCCTCTGCTTGAGTGAAGCTTCCTTTCAGTTTCTTTGAGGCCTGGAAGGGGACTTTACCACTCCCTGTCTCTCCTATTGATGTATCACCACATTTCAAGCTATTTTCTTAAAGTCATAGTCCACAGTAAGAAGCATGCATCTTCATTCATTTGGATTATCTATGGTTGCATCCATGTTGTGTGTGGGACTCATTTCTATGTTTATTAACATAATAGGCTGCATCTCATCAGCAAAACTAAGCCCTCAACAAGTTAACAGCAGCCAATCCTTCCCCTAACAGAACAGATTAATCTTATGGAAGAAAAAGAACTCTTTCTTTCTAATGGTCCTCACATATCTTCACCAATGGTAAGCAACCAGCATCCCCACTGGGCAGGTGTTATCAGGTGGGACATGTTCCAAGAAAATCCAAACAGATGTCAGAACAACACCTCAGACTGCTGACACTATTCCTCCAGGCACTTAACCAACAAGTAAATTATGAGTGGTTTGGCTAGACTCTGCCCCACCTCTAGGTGAACTCTGCTGGTTCATGACAGTTCAGTGTCCACCCGAATTTCCTTGGTGGAGGTGTAAAAATTAGTCTCATCAAGCTTTCAACAATGAAGCCTTCTGAGACATCCTCTGGACCAAGAATTACAACCTCCTGCTCTGGAAAAAAACAGCCAAAAACCAGGTTACCTGCCACTGAGCTATTGGCCGACCAAGACGGGATGGCTGTCCGCCTCTGGTAGAAAAGTATGTAAGCTGTCTGTGTGCACACCTCATCTTCTGACAGCTGCTGCACATCACTGTCATCGAAGCAATACCAGAGACCATCCACGGAGTTCTTACAGTATGCTGCCAAAAAGAGCCCACCATCAGCACCAGAAAGGCCACACCAGGCACTCTACCCACATACTATATATATATATGTCCTTTATATTTCACTTATATAATCAATTCATTAGCATTTTAAACTACCCATAGTAACAGAAAAATTAAGGAAAAAAATCTAAATTTCATATCATACCTAGGCAGAATGTTCTGAGAAATTCCTAAGTATTCCAATTTCATAACTATTTCATCTCAGAAAACTCATTATATGTCTAAGTATAAGTAGGTCTCAGCCAAGGACAATTTGTCTCGCTAGAGACAGTTAGCAATGAGTAGAAACACTTTGATTGTCACAGCTGGGTGGGTTGGGTGGGATTCAACCCACCCAACCACCTGGTAGAGGCCAGGCATGTCCACAATGCATAGGAAGCATTCTACCATCACAGAATATCCAGTCTCATTGTCAAAAGACAGGGTAAAGAACTTTGATTTTTGTTGCTGTATCACTTTAGTGTTTACTAATGGCATAATATGAATAGCCACCAACTAATATTTAAGACTTATCATACCCTAAACATCTTATTTAATCCTGAGATTTATCATTACTACAAATTTACACAGGCTCAGAAAGACTACTTATGGGGCTGGAGACATAGCTCAGCTGGTAAAGTACTTAACAAGTAAGGATGAGGACCTCAGTTCAATCCCCACCACCCAGTCTAATCAAATCAGAAAGTCCCAAGCCCCAGAAACTCTGTCTTTAAAAACAAAACAAACAAATAAAAAACAGAAACCAAAACCGAAAACACAAAGTAGGTGTACCTGAGGAGGACTCTGCCCCCTCCCCCCACACTCTACAAATACACCTATATTATCCTACAAAGAGGATGAGTATATGGCATTTTGCTTAATGTACTACTGTACCCTAGCCTTTTCCTTCAGGAGAAGCCTAAACGACCTATGGAAGTTCCATGGCAAGCCTGAGAACACAGACCTGAAGAATATATACATGGAGCCTTCTCTCCAGTTTCAACTCTAAGCCTAAGATAGAAATAAAGAACATTTAAGTACCATTGAGGAAAACAAAAAATAAGAACCAGCAAGAGCCAATAAAAACATAAGCATCTAGGAGTAGGAGTGTAGCTCAGTATTACAATATGCACTTAGTGTAGCCAAGAACAAGCATCATACCTATGTCAAAACCTTGAGATCATGAAGACAAGTCATACTATTGATACAAAAAAGCAAATTATTATCATGTTTCTCAAAAAATCCATTTACTAAGTATAGACAAGTGCTGGAATATTCAGTAAATCCTGACACAGCCTTAGGATAGCTTTTAAGGACAGGGTACATACAATCCTGACAAGCACCCCTCAACAGGCCTCTTCACTTTTGCAAGTAAGGAACCACAGAGGTGAAAAGGACCCAGGTAAGGAACTGCTCCTAGCTAGACAGAGGAGAAGCAAAGACTCTGAGTGTGGGAGGGAGATCATGTGAAGCTACCAAACCAGAGCGTGAAATGGAGACACACACAACAAATGGAGTCATAGCAACAGCACCGGTTGGGCCAATGGTGTCAGGCCAGGCTAATGCACAAATGGCCCATTTGGGGAGGAGGCTGCTATTCTGGAGAGGTGAGTGGGAGCAGAACTGCACAGGGGACACACCCACCAAGAGACAGATACCCTTGCTCTAGTTCAGTCTGTTTCCTTTCAGGATGGTTTGTTCTCAATTGTGGCAAGGAAAGGCCACATAGTAACTTACTAAGAAACAAACTATTTATAATTCGACTTGCTTTTCTCCCTAACACTGCCTTCCAAAGTGTTTTCAAGGCCAGTGCTACTTAAGCTGTGGCTCAGAAACTGGCATTTTCCACAAAAGGAGGCAACAAAATAAAGATAAGCATTCAAAAACATTTAGCAATGACATTGCTGTAACATTTGTATTATATTTTACAAAATTGGCTTATGAAGGGTTGGAAATGCTAAAATAGAAAATATCAAGGACTTTGTCACACATAGTTTGAGAGGCTCTGTTCTAAAATCCTTGCACAAGTTAGCCATATATACATCAAACAATTAAAGCAAGAATGCATCAAAGACATTCCAGTGAAAACAGAGTCATTAGTTAAAATAATGTTGTGAGGGGGTTCACCAGGTAAAGGTACTTACAGCCTAGTTGATCCCTAGGCCCCACATGATGGAAAGACAGAACCAACTCCTTCACACAAGCTGTCCCCTGACATCTACATACACTGCCACCCCTGACACAATTAAAAAAAAAAAAAAAATGTAACTAAACATTTAGAGCTGAAACAAGTAATGATTTGTCTTAAGAACAGGAAAGGAGGGACCTTGGGAGTTGACTCTGCATGACAAATGGTGGTAACCCTATTGCTGGTGAGACAAGTCAGGAAGATACCTGAGGCTCAATGGACAGCTCAGCCTAATTGACAAGCTTCAGGCCAGTAAGAGACTATCTCAAAACAAGGTAGACAAAGCCTAAGGAACAACACCCTAGGTTGTCCTCTGGCTTTCAAACACAAATCCAAATACACACATAGAACAGAACAGAGGGGGTTATAGCAACATGAGGAATTTTATTAAAGATCACAGCATTAGGAAGGTTGAGAACCTCTGATATAGACTAAGTGAGCAGCTCCTACATAGCAAGGGGCAATGAACAGATACACTCACTTCTGCTCATCACTGTGCTTCAAACCCCAAGTAAAGTTATTTGGCTGAGTTCTCAGATGGTTCCACAATCTCACCCAAGCTCCTTTTACTAAGTCACACTGCTTCTGAGCATTTTCAAGTAGTTTCCAAAGTCTGTTCTAAATAAAGAACAACATGATATTCTGAAATCTAGCACTGTCCTATTTTCCCTAACAATTCCTTTCCCAGGCAGTATATAAGAAGTCCCTATTTTGCAAAATGACTTCTTTACTAAAGCTGAAGCAGTGTAAATATCAGCCAGAAATACTTGCAAAGGTGTTAATATAGTGAACAGTTAGTAGATTTTAATTACTTCTAAGTCCCTTTCATTCTAAGAGTAAAGAATATATAATCTCAAGATCAGCATCCAAGAACACAGATATAACTAGTAATGTTATAAAAACAAAAATCCAACTAGAAATACAATCATCACACAAGTGGCTGCTATAAAAAATATATAAAACAACAAACATTGCATTGCCATCTAGATAGTGCTTTTAAAAAGCACAAGGTAAACATATTTAAGCTATTAACGTCTTCTGTGAAATGAAAGCTCCCTTTGGGAGCCCCTTTTCTCCTTGCAAATACTTCCCAGACAAGCAGAAGCAAACTGCTCTGTCATGAACACACACAGAGGGTCATTCCTCTCAAAAACAACTGCTGCCAGCAGAGTTAAACCAAGAGGGTTTCAAGAATGAGTGATCATCTAGTCATCTTCTTAGCCTCCTGAATTAGAAGACAGCATGCAGGATTGGGAAGGCCAACAGACACCATCACCTTGCCAATCCACAAAGGAATTGGTGGCTAACTGCTAGGAGAAGAATCTACAAGGAGAGTCATCAACATTAAAAGTTTAAAAAACTAGTCAAGTCACTTAACAGAAATACGCTCTGACAAATGCAATGTTAGACAATTTGTCATTAGAACATCAGTGTAACTACACAAACTAAGATGCTACCATATCATTAAGCAATATTATCTTTACTGGACCACTGAAAAGATGTGGCTCTCACTATGAGCCCATATGGCAGTATTGCACAAACAGGTTCCCAATCTCAGGCAGCTTCTCCTCCCCTCCCCTCATTTCACCTCCACTACCACTTACTACATACATGGCAGTTTCCTTAAATCTCATTTCTATCTACATCTCTGCCTACTTGTTACTACTCCAAGAAGATATATAGTGGGATTTAGTCACCTGTGATGTGAAAAGAGTCTATTGCAAGCTAACTACAAAGGGTTTCATATTTATGAGTGAAACATACCAGTATAGTCACACCAGTATAAAATAGCAAACGTATCAAAACATTACTATGGATGAACCTTAAAGACATTACACTCAATAAAATAAAGCAGTTACAAAGAATAATACTGTGTGGTCCTATGTACAAGTTGCACCTAGGATAATAAGTTCATCAAGACAGAGTATGGTGGCTATTAGAGACTGGAGGAGGGGCAGTTTAATGAGTTTCTGTTTGAGAAGATGAAAAAGTTCTGGAAATGGATAGTGATGTGGCTAAACAACAATGTGTTCTCAATACCACCAAACTGGACACTTAATGTTGACTAAAATGCTGTTTAACTGTGTATATTTTAACTATGATGTTAATAGCATTTATCTTCATAAGCCCATTTCACAATAGCATTCTTTCCACCTCTTTCTAGACTTCTTGTGCTGAAAAGAGTTGCTTTTATAATGCAAAAGTAAATTTACCCTTAAAAGAAAAAGACATCATGAAAGTGGCTCATGATCATTCTAAGTTAGGGAGATGCTAGAGCCTCAAAAGCATCACATAGCTATAATGGGGAGGCACGCTGGGTAAACAAGAGTGGCTCCTCAGCTGTCTCGTGCAAACAATCTCCCATCAGGTCTGCTCACTACTGGATGAATGAACTCAGAAGAAAGAAGGTTCATGTATTTGATCTTGGACAGAGATCTGGAGGATGAAGCTGCTCTCAGAGCTGGCAAAAGGCACACTGGAAAAGAAAGGGAGGTTCAAAAGCTACAAGCAAACAGCCTGAAGGAAGCGTCAGCACAGACACGCAGCCTCTCACACTGCAGACCTGTGTAGTGCCCCCCTTGCATGGTGCCATGATGATTGCACACAGCATACAGGTCATAAATGTAGTCCTCAGGGTCCCTCCCGAGTCCATAGGGCCGTCTCCATGGGGACCAATGAGATGGCAAGCTCCAGCTGCTTTGGCTTCTCTTAACCACATGAGGTGTCATGTCCAGGCCAGTCAAGGGGAACTTGACCATGTTCTGAAGTTTCATACGCCTGTCTCCTTCCTGTTACAAGAAGAAAAACAAGTTCTGATGACATTTTAATGTAAGCAGATGGAAGCTCAGTTTAGCATAAAATGTGGGCCCTGTCAGTTAAATCACTTTGAATCACCTATCTGATGTTTCCTAAGACACACAAGAAGGAAATAGATTAATAGTGTTATCTGTATACAGGAACAAGCTTTAGTACCACCTATAGTGGAACCAATGAGGACCAACATGTAGGTGAAAATGAACCTCTGGATTTTCATTTCTTTATCTGTCAAAGCTTTGGAGGGTGGGCAAGCTTAGAAGAAAAGTGACAATTTCAGGTGGTTCATCCTGACACTTCTGTCAGATGCCTGAAGATAGAGTCTAACTATGTATAGGGCAAACCCCAACACCTAGCACTGGAGAGGCAGTCAATAGGCAGTGATCCTTCCCTTCCTACTTCTCCAACAAGCACATTTACTTGGCTGAACTTAGCTATATAGTCAACAACCCTGAATAATCTGTATTTTCCATTAAACCCTTAGGTTCCTTAAAACCTAAAAATCTTAGGTTTTGAATATTGAATGATTATTATTTCATGTTTTCTTTGCCCAGGAGAACATTTAACAAACTAATCAGGCATGAATGTGACAATTCCAAGGATTTACAATGGATCTATTAAAGGAAAATATACATCCATGGGAGAAAAGCTTCTGAATAAGCCAGGCTGGAGAACAGGGTCCTTATTTTGTAGTGAAGAGGGAAGCACTGAGGCTTACAGGAAGGAAGTGATGCCACCAGAATTGAGGGAAAAACTGTGAGTAGTGTGTAAAACATGTTAGGAAGGGCAGAGATATAGAGGTTAAGAAATCAATTAAAAGACTGCAACTGCAACCACCTGAACAACAACAAAGTCATTTAGTGGTAGGGTGACAGAAAGCAGGAGGAGACATACTAGGAATCCATGAAAAAGCCAAGTCAATTTGCCCAAGTGGCTACCTAGTTTAGACTGACAAGAAGGAATGTCAAAGATGACACTGCCATTTGAGTCTGGGATTCTGAAAGGAAAAGTGAAGGAAATCAGTTAGCATTAAGGGGAAGAAAACAGAAGGATGGACTGGAAGTTTCAATCAATTTCCCACCTACAGAGCCCAAGCTGGATGCCCAAGGCAAGTGCCATGTTTCATTACCATAGAAGCCCAGTTCTGAAAGATAGAAGGGTTTGGGAATCTGGAGTAGTCCCCTAAGTTCCACCCTGCTGCTTAGAAAAGCCCAGGCCTGGGGACTAGGTGTGCCCCGCTTGCTCCATCTTAAGTCTTCACATCTTTCCATCCCTATTGCTACAACTCTCTCCTAAGTCAGCAGCAGCCTCTAGGATGTCCACAATACTTGCAACTTTTCTTCTGCTAACCACCCGACAGCTGAAAGGATCATTTCAAAACACACATTTGGTAATCACTGCTCCTGTTCAAAGCTCTTCACTAAAATCTGACTCTGCCTACAAGGGTATGCTTGAACAACTACTCTCCACCTACCTTTCTCTTCCAGCACCCACCACCCATCTTCTGGAGTGATAGTGTCACCCCACTGTCCTGCTTTCAGCCTCTTCAAGTCCCAGGCTCAGCATAAACTCTGCCAAATGAAGGTACAGTCCTGCTTCTCCTTCTCATCTAGCAAACAGCTGCTCATTTTTTAGGCACAAACTCCTTAATTCAGCCACAAAGACTCACTATAGATCACCTCTCATTAAATTCTCTTACAGTGGGGCTGGCTATGATGTTTTTCACCTCAAAAGATAGACAGACTTTTTGAAAAAAGTGACTCACAAAGCAGTACAACAAAACGCAGATATTTACATGATTATTACTCACCTCCCCAACTATATAACAGCTCCTTGAGGCAGGACAATACTGTGTATTATATGAAGTATAAATAGAATTCTACCTCTCTCACAAAGGATCACTTCTCAATCCTCAAGTAAACACACTAAAATTTAAAGAAAACATTTGCAAGTCTAAAGCAAACCCTTAAAAATAAAGTAAAACATGTGCATGAACTACAATGTTCAGGGCTTGAAAGATCACAGGATAGTCAAGTTTTGCTTTAGAAAACATGACTATGGAAAGGGTCGGTCAAAAATGTAGAGACATTCAGACAGCATCAGTGGCTGAATCCAACAGAGTCACCAAAGAACCCAAACAAGCCACCAAGAGGAGTCAAGAGAAACAAGGTCATGCTAGCTTTCCCCAGGGACAGGCTTTGCTCACCTGGCGGAATCTCTTGAGGTGTATAATAAGCACATCAGGCAGAGTCCACAGGCTTAATGTGATGCTCCCCTGTTGCAGCTGCTTGCAGTGTGGGCACCGCCATGCATCATCTGGAGCAAGCTGAAAACAAAGAGCAGAACTTCCTTTAGGCATCACATAATGAAAATCTTTGTCATGGCAGACAGCTGAACTACTTTCTTGGCCAGGGCCTGGTATTACTCAGCACCTCTCTGGAAGCTGCATGGGATGACAGCCAATGGTATAACACAACCACAAGTAGCAAATGGCCAGTATGGACACCGGATGAGTGCTAACCCTCCCTCCCTCAAGAAGAATGACTAAATGTTCTTGTCACAGAAACACCCCCAAGCCCAGCATACCACAAATGCAACCTATCACCTTTGCATCAATATGGACTTTCTTTAATATAGAACATCTTTCCTGATTAACCCTACTACTGCCAAACAAGGTAGAATATAGGGGGCTATCCCAAGCCCCAAATCCCTCCCATTTCCTTCTTCCTTTCACCCCACATCCCTCCATTTCTGAGCCTGTCTCTTCTCCACATTAACTTCCATGAACACACTGCACTCCATGTTCTCACTCTCTCACCCACACTTCATGTGTCCTAACCATTCTCTCCTCTAGCAGCATTGAACTGCTCTAAACAATCCTCCCCATATGCTCTCAACAAGCTCTTCCAAACATCAGTCCAATATTCTATATCCAAATACAGCATCTCTAAATAGGAAAACTGGGGACATGTCAACTCAGAAGTGTCAAATGCATGAAAAATCCAGCCGGGGTAGTGGTGGTGGGGCAACATCAAACACAAATGGGATCACAATGGGATCACAAATGGGATGAGGTAAGGAAAGCCCTAAGAATGGAGATAATTCTCACCAGAATGTGAAAGAGCCAAAGTCAGAAAATTGAAGAAATTGTTTAAGAGAAATAACCAACCTCAGAAGCCACCAGAATCTGAAGGTGGAACCACAAAGAAAAATCTACGTGTGTGTGTGTGTGTGTGTGTGTGTGTGTGTGTGTGTGCGTGCGTGCGTGCGTGCGTGCGCGCGCGCGCGCCAAACAGAAGCATTTCCTTTAGATAAAGCAAGAAAGAGTGAAGGGACGGTCTATCTAGTCATTAGTGCCAGGCACCATGAGATGATCAAATGAAGCGTGAGCAGAGGCCACTGAGAACCTCAGAAACCAGTGTCCACACTTCAAATCAGATAAACAAGAAGAGGCTTAGTGTACAAGAGTGCTACCAACAGTAAATGTGGGTAGAATAGAGGAGAAAGACCAGTCTGGTAACTTAAAAGGGAAGCACAACTGATGGACTCAGTTTTCATGATGATGCAATTCAATCATGTCCACAGAAAAGATTGGTGGACAGGAAGGCAGAAGTTTGGGTCAACAGGAATGATCAGAAAGCCAGATGAAAGGGGCCCAAAGTATCATGTAGTAAGTCCACATTTCATGTGGCATATTAATATTCCCCTTATGTGACTATTCGATCTTTATACTTGTGTCAAAAGTGAGTCTCTGTTTAAATCCTAACACATTATAAATATATACCTTCATGAAATACAGTACTGATGTCATAACATCTTATCAGTCTGATAGTTTCTAAGATATTTCTGTACTGACTATAAATTGCTGGAAAGCTCCCAGGCCAGGCAACTGCACTCTGGGTATCCTTGGTCTATCAAGTCTTCCTGAGAGTAAAGGAGATAGCTCTACAAACATATGGACTTCTAGTCTGGTCTTCTACCTAGATCTTCCTCATGGCAAGACAAAAAGACTCTCTTCAGCATTCCCAACCTTTAGATTTTATTCTTTACATAAAATAAGCCCAACACCTCAACACAGGACAGTTCAAGGACCCCCAAATAACTATTAGATACTCCCCTGAAGGCCTCCTCATCAAATATTCTTGGCTGTTTCATGACTCCAGATGTACCATCCCCACCCTCTCTTCCACGTTTAAAGTAATAAAAAGAGCAGCACAAGCAACATCACAGTTTTAGTATCTATGGACAGCACAACAATGGCTCACACCCATACAGCACTGCTCATCTGTACTGAGCCTGAAGACAGCTGGACCCTAAATTATTGTCACACAACTGACTGCTAAGTTCAACCTCCTCCTCTATATATATACTGTTATTTTTAACCCACATTAAACTTCCCACCACATACACATTCCAGTACATATTTACTGAGCACTTCCAATGAGTCAAGCACCTCTCTTGGCTATGAAGATATTTAGATAGAGACACATATAAAGTCAAGGCTCTCACTGGAGTTCGCACTATCCTAACTCTCTCCCTTAGCTCCTGTGCTCCTGCCACACTGATTACATTTCTGTTTTCAACCCTGTCAAGCTCCTTCCTACCCTAAGACCTTTGCTTCCCTTATATGGTTGTTTCCCTTCTCTAGGGTATGAACAACATGAAGGAAGAACCACTATCTTGCTCATTGAGTATTAGAGTGCTTTGTTTAGGACCCAACACACTATAGGTATTTGACAAACCTTTAAATGAATGAGCCTCTAGATTCTAGACTCTAGAGCAAGCTATCTTGCCAGCACAAATTACCCAATCCAGGGCAGTGAGCTGTTTTGTAGATCAATTGCAGTCATCAGTCTGCTAGCCCCTAAGCTTTGTATTATTTTCAAACAAACATCTCAAGTCAACTTTTAAGAACAACCAGTGAAAAAAACAGTGAGCCAAGAATCTTTAATCAAGCCAACTGGCTATTTTATAATGAAGCTAAAAGTTGATAAACACAAGTCCTTTGATAAACTATTTTTGAAGAAACTTGCTACAAACAGATTGGTGGAGAGAACTCAGTGATATTCTGAAACTTATTTCCCAATATTTGAAAAAAATTACTATTTCTTGTAATATGACCAGGAGACCTATTTCAGGCCAATTTCAGTCCCTATCAGACCTATCAAGAAAGGAAATGGGCACCAGGTGTTAAGTAGGCAAACTCCTTATAACAGAAGGCACTCAGGCAGCTGGAATAATCATTCATTTTAAATGAGGTAAAAGAATAGAAAAAAGAAGTTTTAAGTCTCTTCTAATTCTGAGGTGCCTAATTCCATATGTACAAGAGCAAAGGGTAAACTACTGGCCAAAATTATAATCCAGCTATGGCTTAATACAAGTGTTCCTTGAAAGTACATGCACTAAATTTTGGTCCCTACCTGGTAACACTATTTTTGTAGGTATTAGAAACCTTGGTAAGATCTGGATGGAGGAAGAGAGTCACTCAGGGTAGACCTTTGGGGTATCTTTTTCCCTACCCCTCCTCCTTCTCTCCCCTTACTCCCCGCCAACCATGAAGCCTTCTCCACATACTCCCATCTTCAGGATATTCTGTCTCATAACAGACCCAGACAAAGCAAAAGACTCTGGCCTGAAACCATGAGCTAAAACAGATCTTTCCCTCTTATGTTGTTTATCTTGAGTATATCAATTGTTCTGTCACAGCCACACACAGTCAGGCTAACACATATATGAAAAGCAAGATGAGTTAAATTCTACACACTCTGGTCAAGATTTCTCATAGGCCTGAGTCCCACAGAGATTTATCCATCCACCTACCTGTCAATTCAACAATTAAATATTTACTGAGTTCTTACTATATGTAAACCACTGTGCCAAGTGGTCCAGCACACTATGATCCAACATAACATGATATGTGCACTGCTTTATACCAGAGCCACTGACACTGAGTACTTGAGATGGGGTTTACCCAACTAAGGAACTTAATTTTTCATTTTATCTTACTTTGCTTAATTTAAATTTGAATAGGTCCTGACACCTGTGTTTACAGGACATGTATACTAAATTGAGAAAAGTTGGATTGTGTTGGTGGCCACGGCTGTAATACCAGCACTCAAGAGGGAGAGGTAGAGGCCTTTGAAACCATCCTGATCTACCAGCTAGGACTAAATCAGGAGACCTGGTCTCAAAAACAAAAAACATAAAACAACACAGAATGAAACAAAAAAATTTTAAGAAAAGTTTTTATTACTAAGGAAAATAAGACCTCCAAAATGAAATGAACAAAAATATATTAATAATTAAAAATAAAATAATTACAAAGGTTCATTTCTAGAGCACTCTAAATACTCAAAAATTTAAGTCACTCCTTGTTAAAGTCCTAAAAGGACTAACACAAAAAATGCCCACTTAGTGCATAGAGCCTGTGGGAATGCAAATTCCTGAGGCACAGGCATGTGTGTTCCTGGACAGGACTAATCTCTTCACTGACAACTTGCAGGCCCTGCATCTTACCCGTTCTTCTTTGGTGTAGAGTTGGAAACACTGGGATAAAGTGCAGGTTTGTGGCTGATGATGATGCTCCTTCTGCAGACGGACACTCTCTGCATCAGGGATATACTCATCTTCAGTGTTTACAAACAAGCTGCAATTCAGCGGAAAGGCAGCTTTCAGAGAATGTCTTATAAAGCAGATACAACAACAGCTTTTCAAAGTAGCTATGAATTCATAACCTAAAAGATCAAAGCATAAGAATGTGGTAATCCAACTCTTCTACTTTCTAAAATGTTCTTGGAAATTTCTCCATCTGTAAAGTTCTTTCAAGAGTGAACTTGGAGTTAGCTTTTCTGGAACTGTCCATGATTGTGCTTATTGTGTTTTAAATTATGTGTATCTATATGGGTACACACATGTGAGTGTAGGTGCCCATGGGGGCCAGAAGTGTCAATTCTCCTCAAGTTGGAGTTACAGGCTGTTGTTAGCCTCCTGACACAGGTGCAAGAATTGAACTTGGTTCCTCTGCAAGAGTAGTATGTGCTCTTAACCAGAGCAAGCTCTCTGTCGGTGCTGCTTAAGTCATTCATTCTTGTCCATAATATCTAAGTACATGCATTTAATACAAGCTTACTGGTCTATAGCTGAACAATCCTGAACACACCTTATCCTGTCTGATTTAAGCCTACAAGAGCTATGATCCTGTAACAAAAAAATCAAAGTAAATCAACACACACAGCAATTAATGAACACGTGGCTTTCCCCTAAGCAGCAAATAGATTTTCTAAGGTTTTGAGCCTTGGAAAGAAGTCAGGAAAATAATAATAAACTGCTTCAGTAAAGGGTTAAAACCACTTAAGATACTCAGTTAATGGTAAGACTTGTATATTCCAGCTAAACTGAAAGCTCTGTGTGCTGCAAAACATTAATAAAGTTAAAAATTTTAAAAACTCACAAATCTTTTGTCTCCTTGTCCCATTCTACTACCAGTTTCACATGAGCTGTGCCACCTGGTCCACAGGATTTTAATGCCCTAGAGGATGAGAGTAGAGCCACATGTTATTTTTCTAAAAGAAAGATTTTACTTAAATGTGATTACAGTGATTATATTCTATCTAGAATCTCATTATTACAGAAAATCTGAATAGTTTCCCATCAGAAAGTCTTTAATGAGACCAATGTAGCCTCTAATTTTGTACTAGTTTAGAAACAGAATGAAAAATCCTTAAAACATTCAATATAGAAATAAGAGTTTGCTTGCACACTCTCAAATATTATTTATCTTTCCAATGCCTCACCCACACAGAGACTAGATTCAGTTTCCTGAGAACAGTCTGCTCTCACACTTGCCCATCCCCACCCCCTATGCCTATCTTATATCCATGTCAACTCCCCTGTACCTTCCTCCTCCATAAATACATACCAGCCAATTCACTGGTCATCACCATTTTTTGAGACACTCATCACTAATGGCTAATAATACGCATCTTTTATCTTCTGTATGCTATGCAATATTTTTAGATTATTTAGCTACTTTCAAGGCAACCAAATAGTGACATTTCAAACAAGACTACACTGTTTAAAAAAAAAAAAAAAAGTGGTGGGGGAAAAATGAGACAGTGTCTCATACACCCCAGGCCTCAAATTCACCATGTAGTCAAGGACAGCCTTCAAATCCTGATCTTCCTATACTGCAATTATAGGCATAGACCACCATGACCAGCTCCTGTGTTTTGAAAAAATATGTGTTGAAAAGTATCAAACAATGCAACTCTTCATATTTATGTAACCATATATGGGTAGTGTATACATATATATATATATATATATAGATATATATATATATGCTAGCACAATAGACAGTATAAAGATAATAGAATATTATGTATAAAAATCACAGGAATATCAAAGCAGAGCAACTAATTCCTCTGGAGGAGGAGGAACAATAAATGTTTTCACAATAAAGGATTACGGACAGTGCCATATGTTCAAGCAATCATCCGTACAATGAAGACAAAGGCAGGTTTGGTGTAGTGGGGAGAGGGATAACAAAGAGACCTGGCCAAAGAGAAGTAGAAAGTTAAAACTACAGGATATGGACTTTACCTTCTAGACAACAAGTTACTAAATAAGGGTAATGACTAGAGTACGAACAGAACATTAGCCTGGAACACTTCAATCATCATGAATGAGTATAATTTATTTATCATTTATTTGTTTATGCATACATACGTGTGTGTGTGTGTGTGTGTGTGTTTATGTGTATTTTTTTAAACTTCCTAACATGAGCTACTTTAATTTCAATAAAGTTCACAGAATACTTACGTTGCTGGCTAGTTTTATGTCAACTTGATACAAGCTAGAGTCACTGGAGAAAGGAAAGCCTCAATTGAGAAAATGCCTCTATGAGATCGGGTTGTAGGCAAGCCTATAAGGTGATTGATGGGGTAGGGCCCAGCCCATGGTGGGTAGTGCCATCTCTGAGTCTTGGATTCTATAAGAAAGCAGGCTGAGCAAGCCATACGGAGCAAGCCAGTAAGCAGCTCCCCTCCATGGCCTCTGCATCAGCTGTTGCCTGCAGGTTCCTGCCCTGTTTGAGTTCCTGTCCTCATTTCCTTAAATGATGACAAGTAATGTGGAAGTGTAAGGCCCACCAGACTTGCTTTTGGTCATGGTGTTTCATCACAGCAATAGTAACCCTGACTAGGACAACCTTGAACCCAATAGGAGTCAAAAGTAAAATAAATACTTAATTTCTTTTCTTTTTTTATGTTTACTTGTTAGGTTTTTTTATTATTATTATTAGTTTTATTTATTTATTTTACATCCCAGCCACAGTTCCACACCACCCCCCTCCCATTCCCTCCCATCTGCCTGTCCCCATCCATTCCTCTGTCTCTGTTCAGAAAGGGGCAGGCCTCCTTCGGTATCAGCAATACATGGCACATCAAATTGCCAAGTACTTAACCTCTACATGCGCTTAAAGAACTTAAGACACTTACATGGCAATTATACCAGACATCAGACATTATATTAAGTGTCACATGGGTACATGTGACATTCTTGAAAACTGTTTTATTTGTCTTTTACCTTTCTACTGTTGGGTGGCACAAGGGCTGTTCTTCCTGAGGCAGCAAGTAAGTTATTCCCACAACACTGACCACACGCAAACTGAATGGACACACCTATATCAAATGACAAATGAGAATTCAGCTGAACTTAGCCAAGGGCATGTTTCACAGTGGCATTTCCAAAACAGATCAGATACAGCAAACAGCTCACCTTTCAAAGTACTCCTCCACATTACATACAAGGCACTCAAAGGCAACTTATTTATCAATTATTTAAGCATTCCATTGCTTTCACAGAACACTAATTTATTGGCCTTCCAATAAAACAGTATTTTTAAAATTTACAGACAGATGTTCTATAACATCTCATGCTGATCATATACCAGCTGTACTAGATAAGCACCATAAAGGAATACACAGCAGTTTAAGGGAACTTTTCAATAGCAACTCCTTTCAGAAACCAGGAGTCAATTCTCAGTCTTGAAAATTCCAACAAAAGCAGTTTCTCTGTACTGACTGCTGTTTCTGAGTAAAAAGCATGTGCTACTGGGATAGTAAAATGCTTACAAACCTGGATGCTGACAGTAGGCCTCAAGAAATACTTCATCTTCTCCAAGATCTCCTTCTGCAGAAGGTCCCATGCAACTGTCTTCTCTAGGTGCAGGACAAAAGGCAGTCCAAATCTACCACACAAACAACATGGTCACCTTAAATTACAGCAATCCCTTCAGAGTTACAATCCCTTATTCTTGATCTTTTTAAATTGGATTACAATTTAACTGGTTTTAGGACAGTTCTCAAGCAGGAAAAAAATTCTGACTCAGAATGTTGAATGAATAATTGTGCCACTTGCCAAGACAGGAAATATTAAAAGAGAAAGATAATGTGTTCAGTTTGGGACTCAAGTCTAGGAAACAAGTACCATACAAAGAAATACACAAAAGACTTTTTTTTTTAAGATACAGGTTCAGAATTCTAAGAAAAGTCTAATACACACAGGACATAGCTTTCAAAATCTAAGCAAGCTTTTCCCCCCTTTTTTCCAAGACAGGGTTTCTTTGTGTAGCCCTGGCTGTCCTGGAACTCACTCTGTAGACCAGGCTGGTCTAAAATTCACAGAGATCCACCAGCCTCTGCCTCCCAAGGACTGGGATTAAAGGTGTGCACTACTACTACCACCACCCAGCTTAAGCAAGCTTTAAAATAAGCAGCTTTCAAATTCTAACTTCCTAATTTTTAGCCTTTCCCTTCCCAATCAAACAAACCAAACCAACTTATACAAAGATTCCTTCTGAATAACAGAATAGAAAATGAACTGCAGCTAGGCATAATGGCACCTGCCTGTAACTCCAGCATTTGGGAATTGAGGCTAAAGGATCAGGAGTTCATGGGTGGCCTGGGATACACAGTGAATTCCTTATCTCAAAACCACAACAAAATTCCCACTAAAAGTAGATTCTTTTCATCCCTGCTTTCAAAAGATTTCAAAGTATGTAGTCTCAAAAATGTTAGTATTTATTGGGAAATAATCTGGTTCTTACCTTTTCCCTTGCTGCCCAGTACAGGCCCGGTTACACACAAGCAGAACAATCTTGTCGCTTGCCACTCTGGTGGGCAAGTCCACTTTCCCTGGTTTTGCTGCTGTTGATGGTGGAGAAGACAGTCTGTGATGATCCAAGCCAAATTTCAAGTGGTTTAAATTGTTGTTTAAGTGAATGCCTGACACAGAATAAAAACAGCTCAACTTAGCTCTTCAAGATTCTTTTCTTTATTCATTACAAAGAACAGAAATAGAAATAATAAGAAACTGTCATTATATAATTTAAACCACAATCAAAAATAGGGACAAACACTCTACTATGAGATTATTCATCTAGCCATTAGGCTAGGTATCAGCATTCATTGTTTCCTTTAAAGTAAGATTCCCTACCTTTAAAAACTGGAAATTAGAATTCTCCACATGAGTCAAAGTCAGACAGTTTTGACAAAAACCCACAAATACAATTTAAAGTTAGATCCAATAACTAGTAACCAAATGTATTCCAAAAGCAATGTAGACATTTGAAATCATCTACAAGATTTTACTAGCAATTTCTTGTCCCTGAGTATCAAAACGAAGTAAAACTGCACTTACTAATCCAGACCTGTTGTGAGAACATAATAGAACAGATCACCCCACATTAGCAAGAACAAAAATGCCTGACAGCACAAATCTTCAGTGTCCTATAGCAGAGCTTCTTGTTACACAGGGTCATCCATCCAGCTAGTCAATACCTATCACAAGGCTCTGTAGCTAATCAATGGCAATATCTGTTAATTCTTTTACTTTTTCAAAAGGATGTCACCTAGTGAAATATAGCCCCATAAGAAGAAAGGGCCTTTCTGCCAACACCACCAATAATAACACTAGAAGAAGAAAACAGAACAGCTTATAGGAAAGCATTCACAGCAGAGGTTTGGCACTAAGCTAAGTAGTCAGCAGTCTAAGACTTGCTGTTAAGATGCCACAGCATTGTAATAATTTGAATGACAAGCACAGAGCTAATATCAAAATAAACTCCAGATAGTTTAATAAAGCAATCACTAGAAATAAAAATACCTGAACTTTAATCAAGCTACTAGAGAGAAGAACAAATTTTAGGCATAAACACCACAAAGAGATCCCAAAGGAACAAGAGTAGAAAAATAAAGGTAACAGAAACCAAATCTGAATCAACAGGTAACCTCATTCTCAGGTTCTTGGCAAAGGTAGATGTGTGAAGTGATCATGATTTCTAGGGAGATAAAAGGATGCTGTTCAACTGCTGCAAAAATCTACTCTTTAAATCACAGCCCTGTGTCACCTAACAGATGGGACCTGGGGCCAGTAATTTAACCTAATTCACAGCTGTCATTCCCAGAGTGGGGAGTATGGTGTTCTCACATGTTGCTACTAACTAGAGCACTCATATGGTCTTTAAATCATAGTCTAACATATGCTTGCAAGTGATACACCTTTCAACAGAGACATGCTCTAGATAAAGTATGATGTTTAGATATGAGATTCATTAATGCATAGGAACTCCATGTGATAAGATAAACCCTAAGCATTCAAGGAACAGCAACTGAACTGGGGGGATTCTTTCAGTTGAAAAGAATATTGCTGCATATTAGAAACTACTAGGTATAAAAAGATCAACCAAAACATGGCCAATGCTCCAAAGAATACCAGACAGAGGAGAAAGCTGGTCATTTCCACATACACATGCTAGACAAGCAGAAGCAATGACTGAGCTGCAATCTGGAAGTTAGCCAGCATGTCCTTTGCAGGCCCATGTACTTGAAGTCTTGGTCCCCAGCTAAAAAACACTACTAAGAAGCAGTGCAAACCCAAGAAAATCGGGCTTTACTAGAGGAAGCAGTCACTGGGGACATTCTGACTCACTTACTCGTCTATCTTTGTTGGTACCTGACTCTGTCCAGATGCATTGTTTAGTTACAAAAAAAAGTTGGGGCTATTCTTTCATTTATACCTTCTTTTTTTCTTTTAAAGAATTAGTTTTGAGATTTCTCTCTTCTATTGTCTTTATCTTAAATTTGTGTTTTTATTTATCATTGAGCACAGGAACACAAACTCCTGGTGCAGCGAGATGGATACAGAAAAACAAACAAAAAAAAGGGAATAAAATATGGGAAAAGTGATTTATTAGAGGAAATTGTGTAAAAAGAAAAAAAAAAATCCACCAGACTGAATGGGAGAAAGGGCATCTAAGCACAAATTCATGTCAAAAATAGAAGAACCCAAATTTAAAAAGTTGTTACTAACATTTTTTTTAAAAATCATGTCAAAAATAGAAGAACCCAAATTTAAAAAGTTGTTACTAACATTTCTTTTAAAAAAAGAAGAAATTATCCTTGTTCTCTGAGTAACTTGGGGAAGGATATCTTTATAACATACTTAATAGTTTTCAAGAGTAAAGAAAAAGGAACAGAACGGAGATTAAAACACAAACACACATAACACAACTAGAGAATTCAAGTAGCTTAAAGCAAATTTGTACAAAATAGGGAGAAAAGTTGGTAAGGTGGAACTCTAGGTAATGTGAAGGCATGTAAAGAAATTAATATAACAAGCAAGTGAAGAGTCAGATGTTCAACACACAGAAATCAGATTTGGGGTTCAGAAGGATCACCACTAGCAATAAAACAAATAAAGATTTTATTAAAACCAAGAAAAGCAAACAAGAAATAATAAAAATCTAAAAACACAACAGTATGTATACTTAATCACAATTTTTAAAATTGCATACTATTATATAATACTTCAGTGCCCACAGTGGTCAAATCTGCAAACTCAGGTGCATTATAGAGATGTGACCATTTACCTCTTTGACTGAGAATTCCTTCAGGCCTAAATATTTCTGGAGTCTCAAAGGCAAAAATGCAATCACTTTCATGAACCGTCTCCAGGTCATCTGTGTCACTAAAGGAACGATGGAACCCATCATAGTACATTTCCGTTAACACAATCTAAAAAATGGGGAAAATGTGAACAGTTGGGTAACTGGAAATTCAATATAAAATGATCTTCTAATCCTACCCTGACCTTCACAAGACCATCAGGTTGGTAATGCTCAGTGGGGGCATGTCTTCTAGGACCACATCATTTGCTGGCAATGAAAGACTTAGATGTGTAATAGCCTCTATGACTGTGTAGAAATACACTCTGAATAGAGAACTCTATGGCACAAAATCCAGAGTTCCTCTAAGTTTGGGGACAGGATATAACAGAATTACTCATTCTTCTGTTTCACAGGAGGAAGAAGGAAACAGAGACCTGCCTAGGGTTCCACATGTTTTCCATCTCATGGAGAGGACAGACTACATCTGAATCTAAGACATTCTTTGATATCATTAAATCTCTTTTCGGATTAAAAAAAAAAAAGTCAAATGACCATGGCTATCTGTACTGAAACACATAAAATCAACTCAAATGTCCAACTATATCAACTAGTTAAATGCAGCCCTACTGACTGAGACAGCTACTAGAAAAGATAACTTGCATATATCTATCTCCCTTATGAAGCCAAGCTCTAAGTAAAACAAAAAGCAGCTGAAAATGATATGTGTAATGACTCTACTTTTAGAAAAAATTAAAGGATACTCCCAGAAAAAAAATCTAAAGAATACTATATAACATAGGACTAAAGTTAGTGATCTTCTTAGCACTGGTACTTAAGATACTTTTAATTTCTAAGTTATATTTTCACAATGAAACAGAAAAACAAAAGACAGGGAAGAAAAACAATGGCTACATTTAAAGTTTATGCTGCATGTTCAGCAGTACTGTCCAATGCAAAAGTACTAGACTGAGCAGAGCAAGAAAAGGTTCCAGGCCCAGCCTGACATCAACCAGCCCTGTGTCCTTGAACAGGGACTTCTTCAACAGAATGAAGAAGCACCATTGGACACCAACTGCCAGTTCCCCATCACCACCTCAAGAGTCCCAACATTCAACAAGTCTGAGGTGAAAAGGCTGGAGGCCTGTTTCACAAATGACCCCCCCCTCAAAAAAAAAAGAAAAAGGCTCTTTGCACTTTGCATGTTTCCTTCTAAGGAATTTTATGCTTATGCTGTTTTTCTCCTAGTGAGCATGGAAGCATAATTTACCTCTCCAGAAAGCTAAGGGCTAAAGCAAACTAGTAATTATATCACCAATTTCTACCACATGTGGAAAAAAGTGAGACAGCACTGGGGCTTTAAAGACACAGCTGCACTGCCTTAGATTCGAAGACCTCATCCTGGAGAGGAAAAATAATCACAAAGTAATTTAAAGAAAAGAAAATACCAACATTTCAGCATTGTGCTAGTACTCAGCCTATGAAAAAAGAAGAGATCTGCTACATTAAGGCAACACAACTTTAAGTGTATTTGCCTAACTGGGGCCAAATGAGGCCAAAGAACAAAATACTTCTATTATTCACAAGATTATACAGAAGCTTCCAAAAGCTATCCAAGGAAAAGCTATTTCACCGGTAAGTCATCCTTCCTTATAAATCCCAAGGAATGTTTCCCGTAATGTTTTTCCAATAAAAACTATAAAATATGTTAAGTCACCAACACAAAAGAATTTTTTGGTCAATTTAAACATAACTAGTTATCAAAGATGTGTTTCCCTTCCCTTTTCCCCAACCCAACTTTTTCCTATCTAAAAGACTTTGGCCTTCAGTAAGGAAACAAAACAGGGTGGCAGGTATAACTCATGTATAGAGCACTTACTAGCAGTGGTAAGGCCCTGGGTTCAAACCTCAGTGTCACAACAGAGGCCAAAAAAGCAGCACAAATGAACATATACTATATACAGAACATCATACTGGCAAGATGCCCATTTTTACCACCATAACAGGAGGGGATTCCTAAGCCTCTCTGTCAAACACCACAGTAGTGTGAAAGGCCAAGCAATCATACTTTACAAAGAAAGCCACAAGGTCTTGCATAAAGCAGTTTTTCCTTTCATATATATGATTAACTAAAGCAGGTAAGGGTTTTTCTATACATTGTATTCTTTGAGTCTGGATTTTCCCTCCCCACAACACTAAATGCAACTGGTTTTAAATTTCTAACGTATTGGGCAGAAAATTGAAAAAGAGGGGAAAAAAAATCCAGATAAGCAGAAAACAACACTTTAGTGGTTCATGTGTAGTTGGTCTTAGCAGGTTATTACCTGATCAGTGGGGATCTTTGTCTCCATAGACACAGCTTCCCGAAGTCTGGCAACAGTCCCAGACAGAGGCACAGCCACACCAATCCTCATGCAGTGGGAACATTTCCCTTGATACACTACAGTGACATAGAGAGGCCTGTACAGATCACAAAGTCAGATCTTCTCATTAGTCACTTATTTTAGCTAAAATATGGACGAAGTGAAACAAACCTAACCTGAAATCAACACAAAAACTAAAATGAGGCCTGAGACAGCTCAGTTGCCTAGCATGCATAGCCCTGTATTCCCCCAGTATGACGTAAACCAGAAACTGTGGCATATGTCCACCACTGCAGCATTTGGAACCTAAAGACAGGAAAGTGGGAGTTCAAGGTCATTTTCAGCTACACAAGTTTGAGGTCAGCTTGTGATAAATGAAGACTATCTAAACACAAATGAAATTGAAGTTAATGCCCCCTTTATTTGGGAATCAAATGGGAAAAATTCATTTAGACCTAACTAGAAACTATTAAACAAGTAAAAAGATCTTTGAAAAAGCAATCTTCATAAAATAATTTTCAAGTAGCATATCCATAATTGCTATTTTTCTTCAAAACAGCTTAATTTATGGAACCTCTGAAAGTCTAAATAAGTACAAGGAAGATCTCCAGAGAATCTAGGACCAGTGAGGAAAAAAAAAAAAATATGTCATGGGCTTACCTATTTCATGTGGCTGCTCAGCCTGTACAATCAGACAGGCATTTAGCTCCAAGAATGTAACACGGCTTGTGTTTATTACTATTAAGCCTATTACTTAGCTCAATAAGTGAAAGGCTTTAACAAGAGGCTACAGAGGAAGAAGTACCCTATCACAGCAAATGCTAATTTTACACATACATTCTTACCTTGTGTGGGGTAGTGGAATTGGCAAAGAAATGCACAGGAAAGGGTCAAAAGTGTTGCTCTGTTTCTGACAATGAGGACATGTCAAAGAAGATCTTTGAAAACAAAAATGTAAAACATTCACATAAGACCACATAGAACTATGTTAAGCAGACAAAACAAGAGGAAACAAACATGTCATTTGCTCCTACCTATACTGGGCTTGAAAAAGTTCTTGTACAAAAGTGCTACAGACAGGAAAAGATGGTCCCTCAGGCATCATATCAGTCTCTGATGGTGGCTAAAACAAAACAAAACAAAAAACTAAGTACAATTGACAGGCCTAAAGTACCACTTCTTGATTGAAGAGGAGCCTAAAATGTCACAAATACTCAACTTCCTTTATAAGCTGTATATGGAACCCAGATGCTTCTGTAACATACTGTGCTAAAGAGAACACAGCCCATAGCCTGTAGGTCACATGGACTGAACCTCACACAGACTACTGAATTTCTCCAGCCTGTTGGAAAGCTGGCAAGTTCTCCTCCCTTGAATGCTCCAATCTTCATCTTGATGCTTAATCACAGTTTGCTTCAAATTTTATTTAACCTTTTCATGTCCCTAGCTACTAAGTATCTGCTACCACATGTTGAGAACATTGTGCAGCATGTTAGGATACAAGAATATGTAACATAGTGCCTGGCCTTTAAGATATCTCAATATGGTGACAGAGTCAACCATGTATACACAGTTGTGACAGTACGCTGTTCAGGAACAAAAGTTCCTTAAATCAGAATAATACACTAACTTTCTAAAACTAGAAATTTTAAAATATAGAGACTTGTCACAAACTTCAAAACCTCCACAAAAATATGCTTCCTACTATATGAACCACTTTACCTATCATATTACAGCTACATGTGGAAAAGTTATACATGTCAACTACTTCATTTCTGTAAAACCATTCTGGACTCAGTTCCTATGCTCAAATCCAAGTCTAACAGCACAGGTCTTACTAGAATAAAAAGCAACTGGTTCCCTTGATTAGACTTGTAAGGTCATTAGGTACAATTGTCTTTTACCTTATACTGTCAGCACAATAAGCAGGATAATCCATAAAGTGCCCACTTGGCTTTATACTCACCCAGAGCTGGTCACTCTACTTAATGCAACAAGCCCTCAACAGAAATTTGTGAGAAGACTTCCCTCTCTCTTTACCCATTTCCCCACTCCCTGACTGTCCAAGGAGTGAGTACATGTACTCACCTTCAGAGGGGGCTGGCCACTCTGCTTCACAGCATGATTGAGGTCTTCATGAACTCGGTCCAAAAGCCATAGCAGAAACTCCTGAGCATCATGTTGGGAATTTCCTCGATACTGCAGAGCATTCTTTGACACGATACTCTATGCAAGGAAATAAATCAGCACAAGAAGTTGTGAGTTCCTGGCTCTGAAGACAAACTATCATAATTCTGAAAGATGGATACAAAATCTCAAGGGTGTCCCAAAAAGACTGCAGAAAAACAAACAAAACCAGAGGAAAATCCTGATGAATGAAATTCAGTTACCAGCAAGGTACTAATGTTAATGTCTTAGTTGTGACATTGACACGGGATGTTAATGACAAGGAAACTAGTGCAGGCTTTAAAGAATTCCTATCCTACTTTTGTTGACTTTTCTATAATTCTAAAATTATCCTAAGAATTAAGTTTAGGAATACATTTTTTATTAATAGAGCAGTTGTATAGACAACATGTCATGGGAATAGAACACAAGATAGAGAAAGAGTTGATGGACAGTGATGACATCTCAAGAGATGTCATTTAAACTTTGAAGAGGTAGAGAGGCAAGGATCAAAGTAGGGCAGCAACATGTTTAAACAAAAAAGGGGTAAGAAAGTATGACTTCAAGAAAGACCAGGAAGTTCAATAGACTGAAAGAACAGGTCTGCAAGGCAGAGCAAGAGAACTGAGTGAAGACAAGACTAGCTCAAAAAAGATTTTAAAAGCAAACTAAAGATAGCACAGAAAGCCAGAAAATGATTCTAAGTGAACTGGCTAAGACCACGTGCTGAGGAGAGATGCTGAGTACAGCTATTCCAAAGTAAATCAAAATATAATGACCTGTTGGGATTTTTAGAAAAGAATGCATGTAAAACGTTTTACACATAAATGAGACAAATAGGCACTCCAACTTTAACTATGAGTGTTTCATTTGGAGTAGGGGGAGAGTGCACAGTGGTAAAGTAGTTATGAAACAAAATGAGGAAAGAAACAAGGGGCTAAGGCAACATGGTGAAGACACACATGAGAAAGCAAATTTGCAAAGGATTTAGAAATATGTCAGAATCAATAGAATTTGTGACCCAATTTGTAGAGAGTTAGGAAGTAGACCTCTATGCTACCCATGTCTTTTCTGATGGTGGTTTTTGCCTACATCAAGATAAAAGAGGAAAAAAGAAAGAGGATGATGTATTCTCTTTCAAATCCACTGTAGTTGACATTTTGTAGAGCCTAAGAAGAGGACAGGCAGACAACTGAGAAAATATACATATGGGCTCAGTGCAAGAGTGTACATTAAAGACAGAGATGCAGAAGTCAACAGTATGAGTGACTATAATCACAAATACCACTGAGATTGCTCAGTGATGTCACAGACATTAAGCTGGAGGAGAAAACCCAGAAGACAAAGGAGACCAAGAAAAAAACATTAGAGCTGTGGCTAAGAGCATGGAATTCAAAGAACCAAATGAAGAATTTCATAAGGGAAATGACCTACTGGCATTATTAAAGGTAAACAATGACAAAGCAAGCCAATCAACTACAAACTGTGGTCAGAGAGGCAATTCAGAAGCCATTTGCCATGCAAGCCTGGCAACCTGAGCTTGATTTCCAAAAACCCATGTAAAGGTTGGTGGAAATGGAGTTGTCCTCTGATCTCCACACAGGTGGCATGAGGTGGACACATCCCCACACACATCATACAGGTGTACATGCACACACACACAGAATCACAAACTGCCTGCTACAGTTCCAATTAAGAAAAATAATGACCAAAAAAAGAAAAAAGAAATAGACTGTAATCTGATTGTGAAGAACTGTCACAACTTGATGATCAGTTTACATGTAAATAACAACAAAAACTGATTTATAAAATATATAAAGATTCAGTTTGGGATAAAGAGTCAAAGAGATATTAGAAATAATATGTGCAATACCAGCAAACAAGTGAGGGGAGTCAGGCATGATGGTTCACATCCAGTATCTTAGCACTTGAGAGTATGTGACAAGAGGATTACTGTATGAGTTCAAGGCTAGCCTGGACTAGAGACTGACCCTGTCTCAAAAAAGAGTAAAGGAAGAACCTGATAACAAACAGGGCTAGAGGAATAGAATACAACATGGATGTCATCTGGAAACAACATGGTGGGACAGGCACAGGACTGCCTTTACTACACTACCCAACTTCTCCCAGCAGAGGCCAGACTGCTTTCTTGGTCTTTATTTCTACCTCTTCCCTGGTGATTTAGTGGTTAGAATTCAGCCTTCTCAATCTTTGCTTTTTCAGTGCTCCTAAAGTATTTATATATCTGACATCTCCACTGTGAAATACATTGGCTTGTGGTCTTCTGTTCCTTCACTTACATCAAAACAACACATTTTAATGTTCAGTAGAAGAATGAGATAGATCAAAAAAAAAAAAAAAAAAAAAAAAAAAAAAAAAAAAAAGAAAAAAACTAGAACATCTTTTGTAGGAAATATCACTGATACTAGCAATTAGGCCAATTGCTGACTGAGTGTGGAAGAGAAATAGGTAGCTGGTGATACTAGGTCAGTGGGGCTAAAGAGAAAATCAGGAATATTTTCTATTTCTGACTTGGGTAATGATCAGGAATAAACCTGAAAATGAGGGCCCACAGAGTTCTGAACAAGCTGTGTTTGAGACACTAACATCACCCCAAATGAAGTTGTCCATGGTGCTCAGGAAAGATATCTAAGTGGGTGACTTAAATCAGAAAGGCATATGAGTATTAAATGAGCAAAGAGAACAACACATGACAAATCTAGTGAGAAGAGCAGCCACCAGGCCAGAATCTTGGGCAGTCTAATGGAACCACTAACAGTGGAGCCAATCTTTATCCCTAGTGCATAAACGGACTTTGGGAGTCCACTCCCTATGGAGGGATACTATTGCAGCCCAAATACATGAAAGAGGACCTAGGCCCTCCCCCAAATGATGTGACAGACTTTGATGACCCCCTGTGGAAGGCCTCACTATCCTTGGGGAGTGGGTGGGAAGTGAGTTGGGGGTGGGGTCGGTAGGGGGCATGGGAGGATGGGAGGGAATAGGTGAAGAAGTTGGATATGATGTGTCTACCTAGAAACATTAAAGTGAAAGATGATGTCTTAAGGAAAAAAAGAAGAGAAAGAAATGAGACTGGTCAAGAAGTTCACACAGGCTGAAACAAAACAGTACTTCAAGGAAATGGAAGCAACAATGCAAAATGATACAGATAACTCTAGTAATACAGACATTGGTTTGCTCATCCTCTGGGTGAGCAAACAAAAGGGTCAGTTGCCCATTTGATCTCAGTGAAGCAAGCATCTATTACAAATGGGTAAAGCAAAAGAAAAGTAAGGAAACTAAACAGCTTCCATGGACCATCCTTCATATCCCAGAAGCTGAGCTGCACAAGCAAGGAAGGAATCTGTGCCTATCCAGAGAGAAACAGCTAATGGAAAAAAGAGTTCTGAAGACCATTCTTCAGCTCAGAGGAAGTAGAGGAATTCACCTTAAACAGGTGGGTGGGAGAGTGGGTCAGTCAACAGAAGCAAGCAAGCAATGGAGGAAACAGAGAGCACTGCTAAAAAAGCTTATAGATCATGGGAGAAATAGAAGTCTAAAGCATGTAGCTAGGTCACAGCAACTGCCAGAAGCACAGCGAACTTCTGATCTGACCACACTTTTATTTTCTTCAGCTTGTATATCCCAGATACAAAGTATCTAAAATCACACAGCAGCCAACAAAATCTCAGGGTAGGGTCAACATTTATTTCTTTATCAAGAATTGCATTGTTTGCTTATGCTTCTTACCATTAGCACTTCAACTCACCCAGATTCACCCACCAATCATTATGTACCATGGTATTGTACTACATTGTTTAGCAAGATAGTTGTCAAGCAAGACTAAACAGGCAACTCAACTAATACAAACCTAACTAGGGCAAAATCCATACTGTGTCAACCCCATCCTCAATCATCATATCACAAACTGAAGGAACTGAAGGAAAAGAAAACCCCACTGAACAACACAAAAGGTCCTCTCTCTGCCACTTTTAGCCCCTCAACATGATGACATCTCACCAATGACACACAGGGTCTGGGTTTTTTTGGTTTTTTGTTCTCATTTTTTAAAAAATTTATTTCACATACCAACCACAGTTTCCCCTCCCCCCCCTCCTCCTGCTCAATCTTCCCACCTTTCTCCACACACACCCCCCATCCACTATTCCTCCTCAGTCTCCACTCAGATGGGGTAAGGCCTCCCATGGGAATCAACAAAGCATGGCACATCAAACTGAGGCAAAACCAAGCTCCTCCCCCCTGCATCAAGGCTGAACAAGGCATCCCACCATAGGAATAGGTTCCAAAGAGCCAGCTCATGCATCAGGAACAGGTCCTGGTCCCACTGCTAGGGGTTCCACAAAAGACCAAGCTACACAATTGTCACCTGCAGAGACAGCTGACCTGAGTTTGTGGGAGCTCAAGGATGGACAGCTAGGCAGCTGGTATGGGACCGACCAAGGACAAACAAAATGAAATACAGAATAAGAGCCAATTCTTCAGTGTGTGCCTCAGAAAAATGCAAGTGGAAGTTAGGACTCCTAAGTGCCACCAGCCACCAGAGATGTTTGATTCACTTAATGAGTGAGTAGGACAGACCCTGATGGTCAAAATCTTTAACTGGCTCAATCCCTACAGCCCTGGCAAGCAATTTCATCATATTCTGAGTTGTATCTGATACTACCTTGACTTTCCTTTTAAGATTCTTTTTCACTATTAAATCTTAACTTATTTAATGTCCTAAACTTAGCCACTGCATTTTTTAAGTTTTTAATAGTTAATTATTACTATCATCTGCTGAATAATAGCCTTCCTAACTTAACTTCATATACTTGTGTCTGTTTTATAGACTCTGGGTATTTCTGTTCAGAAAATATTATACTGAGTCTACTGGCTTATGTTCTATATATCCTACTATAATTAGACCAATTGTCTCCTCAGACACCAAATAAAAGTGAAAACACTAGCAAAACTCTAAGTTTCATAATAACATCTTTTTTTTAAGGAGCATTGTTTTCCCTTTGGAACAAAAAGGATGAGTTAAGAACATAGCTCAAGAA